CTGAGCTTGAAGATGCAAGGAGATTTCTTATCCTTTCTGGTATCCCTTTGGGTAAATTGATAGATATAATGGCCCGCACACACATCCATGCTAAGAGTGAAGGTGCACAGTATAACCTGCGTATCACACTTCTTGAACTCTCACGCTGGGTGGAGTTGTTTCAAAAACTACTTACAAAGGGCAATGAGTTGTCTTGGAGCCTCCAAATTAGTTGGGAACATATATACATTTCTTCTTTAGGCGAGGGTGTTGGAAGAAAGATAGTAGATTATGCTAGACGATCTCATTTATCATCGGCTGAATTAAACAAATTTAATTCGCTGGAGGATTGCCTGTTATGCTGGCCGGGTGGATGGCCTAACCCTTTGCAGATGAAAGATTTTATTTATTATTCGGAGGGGTCAAGTGTGAAACAAAATTGCATGTATTTGGAGTTTCTCGGGTATCGATCTGCTTGCAAATCATTTAGTTCTATTTTGAGTCTTCAGCAAACTCTTCCGACTTCTCGCTCCGTCAGATGTCATTTTTTTGATATGAAGAGCTTACATGCATTTATGTTTCCCGGGGATTCAGATCATCTAGATGTATCCTATTGTTCAAGGAAAGATTTTAATCTGGAAGTCGTTGAAAAAATGTTACTGTATGCTGCAAACTGGGCGTTTGAGCAGGCAACGGAAAGTGATTATAAGCTTTATCTTATATATTTCAGTTATCTTGGTTCTGTATTACAGGAGCATGGTTGTTTCTTTAGTCGATTTGTTGACTCATTGCAAAAAGAACTAGAACACCCTGTTTGGAAATTGATCTTTGTGCTCCACCGTGTGATATCATCACAAAACTCAGATGCAGAAAACTTCAATGCTTTGCGCTTCTTATCAGAAGAACTTACTGATTTATGTCAGCCAGAATATGTAGTTAATTCTCCTTGTGAACAACTCAAAAATGCTATTAGCAGTGTGAACTTACTGAGGTTAAGCTATCAGCAGTGGAGCCGTGAAACTGGATATACACACGGTCAAAAAACCAAAATCCTTGAACCCTTCTTTAGATCCTTGCAGTTCTTGGAAAATAAAGTTCTTCAATTGTTTGGGAAGTCACCTGAATTGTGTTTGAAACCGATCAATGGTGAAACGATTGGCTCTTTATACAGCGATCTTCTTGAACATCACATTGTATTTTGGAACAGTGTTGTTTCATCTCAGATTGAGTTCCCCGACAATGTCATGCTTATTTCCTGGCGGCCCTTAATGAAGGCTATCACAAAGCTGCAGGAATATTTCCCCAACGAAGTAAAAAATGTGAAGGTATTTTGTTTGATTATTTTTGCATTTATACTTCATGATTGTTTCTTTGTTCTCCCTTTTTTTATTATACATATTTTCTTTGACATCCAACATTTGAAGAGCGAGGCGTGGAAGATGAATACACACCCACACTGGTCTTCTCCTTTGCAAAAACCTCTGCTGTGGGATCTTGGCGGGCATCCGTTTCAACCTTCTACTGCTGCATTATATCAAAAGAGATGTGACCTACTTAATCTTTGTGAGCTAGTTTGGCCACGGAGGAGAGAACCTTTCAAGCTGGGTATGCATTCATTTGTTAGCTTTCTATGATATTTATTGCTACCCTTTCTTTGGTCAAATATCTAATAAAAAATTTTATTTAGACGGAAAGAATGTGCCAACTGAAGCTGCATTATCTTCAAATCCAGAACTTCGCATGCTTGCCATGCAGGGTAAGTTTTTTCATTGACTGATTTTTCTATTATTGAGTTCTGTAGAGTGTTGTTCTTTGCACCCTCACAATTTATTCAACTGCAATGGGAGAAAAATATGTTACAATGCCTGGATACATTCATTATGTGGGGAAAAAGTTTCTGGTACGTATAGGCTATAGGACATTGATTTCTATTTTAGACGGCCTAAGAGTAACTCTCTGTTTGTATCACAAGAAAATGGAGAGAAAGACAAGTAGAGGAGAGAAAGCATGCATTTTTTTGACATTTTCTTTTGTTTGGTTTACATAGAAAAAGGTGAGTAGAAATTTTGACCATGGGCGACACATGAAAACCTTTCTCTTCTCATTTGGAGAGAGAATCATACGGATTCTTTCTTTGGTACTCGTCAAGTAACTAAAGCACTGGGTTAAAATATAAAAAATTACCTAGATTAGGGTACAGCATTATGAAAATTGCTTTAGACTTGCTTCATTAAGTCTATACTTTCAACTTGATCCTGACTGTGATCAATAAGGCTCGTGTGCTTCATTACCTCATTAAAAACTGGACAAGTAACAAATTCCAATCTGAAAAGTAAACCTCTGTTCAAGGCAAACAGTATAGCGTGTCATTATCGAGGTTTACCCTGTGACTAGGCAGAATTTTAATTGTGTTGTGATCAGGTAATCTGCCTGCTTGGGTGGATCTCTACAATCTATAGGTCATGGATCTTTTTCTTTGAGCAATTAAATCTATAAAAGCTCTTTAACTCCAAAAACTCTTATGACCTACATCCCCCCTCCTCCCCACCCACATTTTCTTTCTATTCTGAGAGAAGAGTAGATTACAGTAGCATCACCACAGTAAGTGAACATTGGTATATCTCTTTACAAATTTTTTAGCAGCAGAAAATGACTTTAACCATCTAGAGAAGGGTGCACATGTGCAAATTGTGGGTCTTGTGTAAGACATAAGAATGTTAAAAAGACAAAATGCCTACTTTATGGATTTAATATAACCAATAGTATAGTAGTATACATCTTTTTCTTTGATCAAGTAAAACTATACAAGCCTTGGAAATCTAAGAACCTTTATAGCCTATAGTACGAAGTATATATCTTTTCATTGGGCAAATAAAACTATACAAGTTCAGTAAAACCAATAACTTTTCTGACTAGAAGATATAGTTTATTATGGCCTATGAAAAAGAATACTGTACACAAACAATACTATCATATGCTATTACAAAGAAAAGTGTACACAAATATATATCAATTTATTCAAAGGAAAGTGTACTCATAAATATATGAATATATTCAAAAAATCTGTATAACTTAGTTTCGCACACAATTTTCATTTTCAATTATTATAAGAAAAATATTGAGCTCAAAATTGAGAAAAAATGGCTTACACGAAACCTTTTTAGGAAAATGCTTTCTTTCAAAACTTCATTGATATTTATGTTTTGCCTAAAGGTTCTAAATCATCAGGTTAATTCTCATTTCCTTTGTGTTTGGTAAGTCTTCCGGAGGGCTGAGTACCTTTGAATTCATTGTTTCCTTTTACAATATTGTTTTTTGCATTTAAGTTCTAGCCTAAAGACTATTTTTACAGGTGTGTGTATGTCATCATATTTAATGGAAAAAACTGATGAAGAGAATCTCAATGTTATTGACCAGCTGGAAGACATGTACCAGGTTTGAATTTAGAATATTAGATTTTCATTTTAATCTGGATATCATTTAATTTGATCTCTTGATGCATTGTGTTGTATGCCCAGATTCTTTCTAGAAGGTTGGATTTGGAAAAGATCAAGTTGGAAGAGAATTCACAGTCCATTCAGCCGGAATTCCAGCAATCGGATTCATCCACTTGCTGTGTTTTCACGCCTAATTTGTTGACTGAGAAGTCTGGCATTGATTGCTGGCTGGAGACACTGCCTATAGCTGATGATATTTGTTTCATTCTCAATACAAGATTGCTCCAGCAGCTTTCCCAGATTGATTCTATATATGGCGTTGAACAACTTCATGTAATATTTATTCAAAATAAGAATGTGTCGCTCCTTAGTGGTTTATTTTTAATTGCAAATCTAAAGGTACCTTATTATTTTTATGATGAACTGTTTTAACATAATATCCTCTTGATTGTGACAGGATTTAACTGCATTGGCTGGCTGCATTGAGCATTCTTTGAAATTCTCACTGCAATATTCTCCACATCCACCCACAGACTATATGGGTTATCAAAAGATCTTGTGGACACTGGATGATTGGGCATATGTGCCTGCAGGTTGTGGTCTTTTTAAATCAGCCACTTTCAATTATACCTTTTAAATCTTGATGAATTTCTTTCATTAGCTTAGAAGTTGGTGTTTCCCTGCAGCAAGTAAGAAGATATCAAGGTTCATTTTTGAACTGTGGTTTTCATGGCATACTTCCCTGTGGAATCCTTGCCATGTTGTCAATGAGGTAAACATCAAATCGTATTGTGTAATCCTTGGATAATGTTGTGGTTTACCTCAGCAATGAGTTAACTCTGCCTTTTTGCGGCCTCATCAGAATATTTCCTGGGATGATAAAGATGATCTTCTACCTGACAGGCTTTTTAAGTCTGTGAAAATGACAGCTGTTGAAAAAATTCTGTAAGTTAATTTTCCACTGATTTTTATTTGCATGGTTGATAATGAATTTAGGGTGTCTTTATTTCTGGGTGATTTACCACATCAGATGGAAAATTTCATGAAATATGGGCTCGAATTTTACTCCCTTTGTGATCTGTCCCAAAAAAAGAGTGTTCTAAATAAAGAGTCATGGAGTAGTTACATTATAACATTAGCAAACCAAGTGTAATCCTAAATTTGATGCATTCTTACTGCACTAAAATATAAAGAGGTCGTTTCTCTTATACGCTTGATGCAGTGCCCCATTTACTACCCAAATTTTCATATATTTAGTCCATTATTGATTTAGTTGCAAGTGGAAAACAAAGTTTAATGTGCTATTAGGTTTTGTGCTTTATTTACATCCATATATTATTGTTGGCATTGTTATAAGTCGTCGACTAGTCGCCGACTAGTTGTCCGGTCCTTTCAGTGGTGGCGACTTCATTGTCACCTAGCGACTTGGGTGAACTAGTCGTCCGATCGTGTAAAGCAATGACTAGTTGTGCCTAGGCGACGACTGGTCGTTGATGGAAACCTATCCAATTTGGTCCAACCCAATTTGACCCGACCCGACCCAACACGAATTTCATTACAACAACAACAACAACCCAGTTAAATCCCACAAGAGTAGGGTCTGGGGAGGGTGTGTGTACGCAGACCTTACCCCTACTCGAAAGTAGAGAGGCTGTTTCCAAAGAGACCCCCGGCTCAACGTCGAAAGTTGCATTGCTTGACTAACTGCTACTTCATTAATTAAAGAAGCGCAGACAGTTTAGAGATCCATTTTGATTTATTCCATCACACCCCAAAGCCAAAAAATGGTGAAATTTTGGCTCCAACACGAAGTTCATTAAATTCTACAAATACTTCTAAAAGCATCACCTCCCTCATTCACTTAGCACATTGCGACAATCCTTCCCAATTTTTTTCTCTTGCAAAGCCCATCTTCCAGGATCGATTCTTCTGAAATCAATTCTTCATCATCTTCATCGATTCTTCTCCATTATCCTCCATGGGTAAGATCTCTTTATCTTAAACTTCTTTTTGTGCTTGCTATCTTTGTTGGTACTTAATGTGTTGTTTTTGAAGATTGAAGGGTATTAGTTTCTTATGTACCCTTCGTTATGTGACTTTCTATGCTAGCTTTAAATATATTTTTGTTTTGGTAATGATATTTCTTCAAATAAATATATACAATTATCTTTGGTCAACAAAGATATATATAATATTAAAAATTTCAATACTAATTGTGATTTGTCAACTAGTCTGCGACTAGTAGGCCTACAAGTCGACTAGTCCACTAGTCTCCTCTTCACCGACTCGAGTCGACTTTGTCGCCTTGATTACAATGATTTTTGGATGGAGGTGGTATTTTTTGTTGAAACTGTTACAAAAATTGAGATGATTGATTGTAGTGTATTAATTGCCCACATGTTTGGAACCATTAAGCAATGAACACTTAAAGCACACTATTTCTCCACATGGTGCCACTTTGTTTAGGCTTTAATTATCAATGTTCTAGTTCCAATCTCTACATTCTCAAACATTGTGTAATTCACATTGTTGACTGCAGGCAGGGTGCATTTGCTGTTAAAGACTATTCAATGCACAGTCTGAAACTTAGAGCTTCATCACACCATCTCTGGCATGGTTCCACAGATGTTTCAATAACAAAGTTCCTTTTATCTGGTGCTCAGTGCCTGTTCGAACAGGTAATTATTCTTAAATTGGTATTGTTCATATTTTCTTTAATTGTTGTATTACACTGCCCTATATAATCTTCTTCTCTATGCTTTTAGATCATAAATGCTCACAGAACATCCTTTGAAGCTGAAAAGTACAATAACATAAAGTCATTCTTTCATCCTACTCCTGGGAAGATTATCACGGTATCCACTCTCAAGAAATCATATGCTAAAGGGGTGCATGGTCTGAATATTAGCTTATTCTGATTTGATGCACCATGTCTTTGTTGCGATCACGTTTTAGAAAAGCATATCACAGATGTAATGCTATAATGTTAAAAACACAAACTTGTATATCGATGAAACACATATCTTATAAACATAAAATCATTTATTAATGAAACACCCATGTAATCACCACTGTTCCATTGAGAAATCATCTCACTTGTAACTCCATTTTTTCCATGCTTCAGGAAAATGACGTGAAGGGCATGATATCACTCCTTGCGTCTTCGAATCATGAATATTTTAAGTCATTGCTAACTCTCTTAATTGAGCCACTGCTCCATGTCCTCTATCTACCATGCTCAAGTGGTAACTACATACCTTTTGGGCTTGATTTACAATTGATTATTGGTTTCCTATTTTAATTATTTGGATTGGAATGATGCTCCATTTTGTATTTTATTTTCTGTGTTTGAATTTCCTTTGCAGATTTTGTACATAATCTGGGTTCTGCGTGGTTATTGATTGGTGGGCTACGATACCGTCTTTTGATTAGCTATACACATTTTGATCCCACTTTAAAATATACTGTTAAGTACTCTCAACTGATGCAAAAAATTGCTTCTCTCGAGCTTGAAAATGAGGTATTATTTATATTTGTATTTGCAAATTCATTAACTTCAATTACTCTTGTCTCGTTGTCCCTTGTGTTGTTACACATTCCTCTCCATAGGTTTGTGTATGGAAGAGAAATTTTTGCGAGTTATACATTATTCACGTTACGCTTTGATACTTGTGTGGCATGTCTGGAAACGGCTGGTTAAGAGACTTTTCATAAAAGACTGAATTAGGGAACTTCCCAAAGCTGGGGCTTCTTGCTCTATATTTTCACTTTATAGTTTTACCAAGTTATTTTAAACCAGAATACTTGATATCCAAAATGGAAAGTTTTATAAACCTTATTAGTTCCAAGCTTATAATTCTGCTCCTGGCCCAAGTTTGTTGGGAAATTCTGTTCTTACCCGATGTCTTCTGGTACAGGTAAGAAGACAGTGTACTTATTTAGCAGGGTCTTTGCAATTGAGAGAATATGATAAACATACCAAGGCGCTAGAAGGACTCAATGCTAAGCTGACAAAACTTCAAAAAAAGGTCTGGGGATTTTATATTTCATTCCCTTTATAAAGTTTTGTGTTGATATAATGATATATTCTTCCCGTCCCCAAATAAATGTCATAGTTACTATTCCAGGTATCACGATAAGTTTTGTTTAGTTGTTTGTTTTCATTGATCATTTCATAAAATAATATACTCATGTCACCTCTTTTTTTGTACTTTGTAGAACTTTTAACATTATTTTTTATATATATTTTATGTTTATACCAATTTTTTAAATACAATAAACTAAAAATTATTTCAATTTGCCATATTTTATTCTTATACCAATTTTTAAAATACAATAAATTAAGAAATATTTCAATTTACCTTGTAATTCCTTCAATATCTTTTCTTTGGGAACGGAGGGAGTATATTTTGTAGCTAAATGCTTAAACTTGGGGCATCATTTAAGGAAAGTTTGAAGGTTGATAAGATCTTTTATCTCTCTCCCTCTCTCTCTCCATCCTATTGTTATGTTCGGTAGATACATTTCCCATTATAGGCTTGTGTTCAACCTAACTGGACGAAGAACCCTTATCTGTGTTGTAGAGTCCATAATCTTTTTGTGTGGATTTATTTTTAGCCATTTAATTCTAAATAACTGCTTCAAAATATACACCCACCTAAGTGTGCTTTCTTGTACACAGATTGTATTCCGCTCTGATCCTGGGAAGTTCAAGAGCCTGAAAGATGACTGTGACGACTTCCTTAATTCGGTTCAGCATCTTGTTAGCTCAATTTCTGCTGCAAAAAATCTTCACATTGATAATATATCTGATCTTCTCCAAAATTGGCAGGTAACATTTGTTTACTACGACAAGGCATCTTATATATAGAATTGTGTTTTGTTATGCCACTACTTATGACATACCATGGAGTTCTGTTAAATGTCACGTAAAATTTAGTGTTCATTTCATGCTGCAGAAGACCTCTTCACACTTTATTGAGCGACTGTCTGAGGAATATGCTGATTACATTGATATAATTCAACCATTACAAGCATCAATATATGAAATGAAATTAGGCTCCTCTCTGGTCTTTTCAAGTGCTTCAGGTAGAAAGTTACTTGAGCAACTGGGGAAACAAGATATGGATTCTGTTCTGGTAACTTACTTAATATTCTTTTGTATAACAAATATACTCTTGATTCCGTTTTTGCTGCTGTTTTGACTTTTTTTGCTCCATGGCAGGGGACGATATATTCATTCATGAGATTTCCCAGGGGGTGTGCGCAAAAATGTGCTTCCTACAAGGTTGAAACTATGGCGTACAAGTTTTCTTGGAATGATATTGAACTGCCTACAGTTATCAACACTATGGACTTGCATTTTGTTGAAAATCTTGTCACGACCAAAGATCGTAGCATTGCTGATGGAATGGTTTGTGTTTCTCCCTTTCTCCTTATTGTGAAGAACATGATTAATCACATGGGTAACTTCGTAGTTACATTGTTTCATCCTATTAATTATTGAGATTTATATTTTAAACAGGTCTCAGCTTCTCTTTATCACAATATTCTAATTCGAGTGATGCACTCTGCTGCTGATGCACACTTTATGGATAACTCATCATTTGAAGTGAGTATTTTTTTTTGTTTAGGGTCCGTTTGGTATACGGAATTGGTGGAATTGGAATTGAATTGGAATTGGGATTCCATGTGATTCAATTCCATAGAATTGAATTCACCAATTTCAATTCATTTTTCGCACTATCAATTCCAAATCCACATTATATTTGTGCTACCAAACACCAGAATTGGAATTGAAGTCCTCAATTCCAATTCCATAGTTTGAATTCCTTGTACCAAACGGGGCCTTATCTTTTGTCATTCTGAAGTTATTCATTACATGAAATATCTTTTATATACACCTTTCAGCTTATGGAGAAGATATTTGATGATTTTGCAAAGCGTTGGTTGCATATGAAACTGCATTTAAGAATGAAAGAGGAAGAAAACAATGATCAACTACTTAGGTTTCGATCGCGCACACTAAAGATAGAATATATCCTTGATAGTGATATATCCAATTTAGAAACTGCTGCTTCAAATGAGAGTTTCTTAGATTGGAAGGAAACGCTCTCTGGTGATGAACACTGTGACAATGTAATGGTTCTCCTGAGTGACTTATTACCATTCGTTATTCTAATAAAATTTCTTTAATAATAAATTTGTTTCTTTTCATAATAGGCAAAAATTGACAAGGAATGTGAGACTCCAGAGGATGAATGGAACTCTGTTGAAGACTCCATAGTAAATGACATGATCCATATTCATAATCAAATCTTTGGCTCAACTGATCTTTTTAAAAATGTAAGTCTTGTGTGAGTACTGGTGCATTTCATCTGGACTGGAGGGAAACGTATGTGCTATGACCCTTGTATTTCTATGCTTTATGTACACAAATTTATGACAAGAGAAATTTGTCTTTTACAGCCTGGAAATATTCATGCATCTGATACAGACAGATTATCTTCTTTTGTTGACTCATATTCGCTGGGCATAAAAATGAAGAAAGGTGATTGTCATCAGAGCTATTAGATTGTGTAATTTCTTGGAACTTTTTAAATAACCTTGCATGTGTTTTCTGCAGATTTGAGTGGTTTGGTTTGCTCATCTTTGGATGCTAAGCTTATTCCAGAACAATTACTTCGCTTGTGTTTGGAGCATAAAAAGATGTTCATTCCTCACTGTCAATCATTGCATGCGTACAACTTTTATAAGGTCATTCATCATTTGTTTAGGATTATTGTTTAGGATTATTATGGAAATCTGTGTATATAAATTACTTTCATATCAAATACGCTGCAACTGTTTTCAACAAAGGAAAAAACGCTGCAGCTTCTCATTTCTCTCCACTTTAACACCCACCCCTCCATTCCCCAGGATTCAAATATGCCTGCAATGGCGACCATGGTGGAACCTCTAACTTCTCTTAAACAGAAAATTCTTTTTCTTTTGAATGAATGGGATGATCATCCTGCTCTTCAGAAGATAGCTGAGGTTATTGACATGCTCTTGGCTATTCCTCTGAGTGCCCCTCTGGCTAAGGTAGATTTTACTCTAACAGTCTAACCATTTCTTGTGTATTCTACATATTTATAAACATGTATCATATAATTCTTAACTTTAATTACCGTTCTTTAGTTTCTACTCTTATTCTTCTTTTTGTTTTCCAAGGCCCTCTCTGGCTTGCATTTCTTGCTGAATAGAGTCCACATGTTATGTCAGACGGTTTCCAAGTTTCCATTGTCTGGTAAAGAATTACTATTTCCTGGCTCTTGGAACTGTAGTAAGTAGTATTTTGATAAAGCTTTATTGCACTTCTATGATTCTAATTAATGGTTCCTTTTTTTGGATCTACCCTAGATCAAATGAAACCTATTTTTAATCTGGTATCCTTGTGGCATAAGCTGGAGTTTGAATCTTGGCTTGCTTTACTCGAAGAAGTTCAAGCTCAGTTTGAGACAAACGCGTCAAAGGTAGCTTTTGCAATTCTTCATTGGATAAGTTCTTGTAGCTGCTGTGCTCGAAGATCAATATCATTAATGAGATAAATGATTGATCTCTTAATTAATTGTTTCTTTAAAGCAGTTACAGATGTGCATTACTATGTTGCAAGAAATAATGGATAGTTTGACTAACTATTTATCAATGTCTGAAAATGCAGTTGTGGTTACCATTATATTCAGTTCTTCGGTCAAAAGAGTGTACTGATACCAATGCATGCACTCCATCCTTAATAGAAAGGCATGTGCCTTGTTTGTACCATTTTTTACCTATTCTCCATGAAGTTGCACCCAATAATCTTTATTCTGTGTTCACACTTTGACATTAATGGAACATGCAGCTTGGAGGCATTTGTTCAGATGTCATGTATTGGTGATTTTAGGAAACGTCTTCAACTACTTGTTGCTTTTCATGGACACTTGGGTACTTCTACAAAAAGAGGTGCTTGTTCAAGGTATTTAAAATTGGGAGTAGAGTTGTGATTATCTATATAAATTTGTACTCCCTCCGTCCCAGAGTATTTGTCCACTTTCATTTTTACACACCATCCAATGCACTTCTTTAATCCATTTTATCTTGTAATTTGTATATTAAAAAATTATAGAAATTATATATTAATAATCTATATGTTAAGACAAATCAAACAAGATCACACATGACTATATTTAGACTTACACATTGAGAGAATTTGATAAGTCAAAGTGCTTAGATGAACAGTTTCAAAAGTCAAAACTGGACGAATATAGTGGGACGGAGGTAGTATATTCTTTTACTGCCATTTGCTTTTCATCGACAATGTTATGGAGTTGTCTATCCAATTTTATTAAAAACTGGAATGCTAAATAAATATTGAGGGATTATTTTTTTCAGCTCTGAGGAGATTGTGAAAGTTCTCTATAATAGCTTTGGCTATTATGTGCAGTTTTTGCCAATGTGAGTTTTCTCATATCCATGATGTTCAACATTGATCAATCATGTATGTTTCCATTGAACAACTGATGTATCTGACCTCTTCATTTCTATTTGTTTCATTTTCTTATATTTCTTCCAAGGATTTTGGACCACATGGATGCCAGTAAAAGAAATATTGAAAAGGAACTAAAAGAGCTTGTGAAACTGTGCCGATGGGAACGGGTGGAGGACTATGCGGCTGTAGAGAGCTATGGGCAAACTCGGCAGAAACTCAGAAAACTTGTTCAGAAATTTACTGTGAGTAGCCAGCTTCATCTTCTTATGATAGTTCATTGTTGTAGTTGAAGTATAACCATGCATCCTATACTATAGGGTATCTACAATGTTTCTAACATCAATTATATCCTCCATAGAGTAGTCACTACCCTCTACTCTTAGGATAGAAGTAAGGTTTGCTGCATCTTGTTCTATTCAGTCTTACTTTCCAGTAGTCACAACCACTCTGGGCTGCCTTTATTTAAGGTGTCGTCTTGTACACAGGTTCATTGTTAGACTCTCCCAAGTGAATTATGTGAAATTAAGAGGGGAAAATTGTTATTCAGCTAATATTTTTCGTGTACATCGAAAGACCATCAAATAGGCTGTAATGCTGTATAAGGAGGTCTACTCTTATCTGCACAGATCAGATAACATTATCAGAAGTTGTTCTAGACTTCTAGCTGTAAAATGAGAATAAAAAGTACCCTTAGGGTGCTGCCACAAGCGATTAAATACCACAACTAAAATGTGGTATTTTCTTGGTTTTTGTTCTTCGTTTTCAAGAAATATCCTATAAATACTTTGTTGGAAGGTTCATTGTAGTTGTATAAATCAAACACCTTTAGTTACCATAGCTTAGGTCCACAAATCAGTTGTACTTGTAAACTGAAAATTAAGTTGGATATCAACATGTTACATGAAGCAATCACATGATTGAAAATGTGTGGCATTTCCCTGAATATCTACAACGGAAATGTGGTATGCATTTATGCACTGTAGCGTAAAAGTTTAGTTTATTCATAAAAGTGCACATGTTGGTAGCACGATTAGAACTGTTTCTTCGCCTTGAACCTTTAATGTGTATGGATCAATTTAAGGTTAAGGTATATAACTGTTTCTTCGCCTTGAACATGACCCCTCACAACTATATGATTCCTCCATCTCAGAATGTAGTACAGCCGTACAGGTTTTTCTTTTGACTTCACAGAGTTTAACAGAAGTGTTGAAAATAATAAGTGTGATTAAGGAAGTGTGAACTTCATTTTAGGTTGATTCTTTTACATACAATATGTGAACATGATTATATTTTCTTCAAACATCTGTAGTTCAAAGTCCATTAAAAAGTTATCCAAACATTTTGATTTTCTTGGTACTTCTGTTCTTACTATCAGAAATTCTTTTTACAGCATTGTTAATTTTGCCCATCCACCCTCCCCAGCCCAGATAATGTGCCTTCATTTGCATGTTCAATTTAGTACTCTTGGATTACTTTTAGCTTATTCCTTGGTCTTAATCGCTTAACAATGAGAAGATGGAGTTCATCCCATTTCACTCAATTGACTTGCTTTAATTTGAGCTCATATATATATATATATATACATACATACATACATACATACATACATACATACATATATATATATATATATATATATATATATATTAGACACACACACACACATACTTGATCTACTTACTCTGATCACTAACAGTTATCTTGATCTTATACTAGTCATTAACTAACTTAATCTTTGCCCTTCTACATTAATTCTTAACTGCAAGATCTGGCAGATATTTCTCAGTACTCTCAGTATTTTTAAATTGCTGCTGTATTCATGCAGGATTTACTTCAACAACCTGTTGTTTCAATTATCAACCAAGAAGTGAAAGGAAGGAGTCTTAATTCCCAAGCCATCCAAGACACACAAATCTCAGTTGACTTATATGAGAGGAGCAAGAATATTCTTAATGCACTATGTGATCAGATTGAATTCATCAAGAACAGGTAGAGTTCATTTTAGCTTATGAAATGTTTGCTTTAATATATGTCTCATTGCTGAATATTGCTATCACAGCCCTCCATATGACGCTTGTTGGTTGAAGGAAGTTGAGTATGTTGTCCAAGATCTACATATCAGCAGTAGAACAGAAAGTTGTTTCCCTGGCTTATCTTGTAAGGGAAACATGGAAGGTGAATTCTATTATTCCTTTGATTTTAAGATGATCTTTTTTAAGCATAGCAATCAAATTACTAGTTGCACAAATCACCTAATATCGCATAGCGTGCTTGGATGGTGCAGAAATGAGAAGAATCTTCAATGTTGGTCTTCTATCTCAGTTTTCACAGATGTCTTGGTTTGGTAATTGGGATCAACTTTGGCTTGCAATTGATGAAATATGTAGAACTGTATTTGGTTGTGCGGAGGTATGGAGAGAGGATGGAAAGAAACTGGGAAGAAGAAGAGTTTTCTCCGATCTACTAAAGGTCTTGGATGTGTGTGGTTTGTCTAAGCACAGATCAACATTAAAAAAGGTATTCTCAGGTTCAAGTAATTGTTAATCATAAACATGATGTGAAATATATTCCTGTTCTAGAGTGCGGGACCTTTATGCTCTTACGTGATTGGTTGTTTGATTTCATTTTGTTATTTATATGGTATAGGGCCAACTAGAAGACAATTCATCGATACACTGGCTTCTTCAGCCATCCTTTGAAGTGCGGGACCTGCTCTTGGTGCAATCTGGGCTTTCCTCTGCTGATGCTGAAATTCTCGTTCTTAGAGAGCTTCACGCTTCTTCTGATGAAAGTTTGAACTCCAAATGGAAATCTGCTAACCAGTACTATTTCAAGAGCATCAAATCAATGAAACTTTTGCAGAATATTAGTTTAAACTTTCATAAGGATTTTACTCTTGAACAGGTAGTTGCCTGTTGATTGATCTTCTTCTGTTGAATTTTCTCTTTACTGAACAATCATTTTCATCCCAAACAACTAGAATAAGGAGAAAAGTGGTTAGTGGTTACCAATTCTAAGACTTCAAACTGCCCGCCCTAGAATTTGTAGATTTTAATGTGAGGCAACATTTATATGTTTGTTTTTCTAAATTGAATGTTGTGTTTCTTGTATCGTGACTATATGCTAATGGAGGATCTTCATTATTACAATGCAGGTTGAGAGGTCAGGATCTTATATTGACCATCTTTTGACTATTCAACAAGAACAGCGTGGAGTTGTCTATGATTTTGCCCGACAACTTAGACATTTTAAGGAGTGCCGTTTACCTTTAGTCAACATATTCTCAAGCTCCCCTTTTTCTTCAGTTGAGAACACCGACATTTGTTTGACCCAAAATCATTACAAATCTTTCAATTGCTTGTGGCAACAAAAGGTAGGCCTTAAATAATCACAGAAATCTTTTAATGCATATGGCTTCCTCTTGAAATGGGTGATGTACTTTTTTTGTCTACTGCAGCAACTCTTTGATAGCTTATGGGCACTATTACATGAAGAGAGCCTGTTTTTACAAACAGTACTGGATAACCATTTGAGCTCTTGCACAAGTGTCAAACATTCAGCAATGGAAATCCTTCTTTTCATCAGAAAACATATTCCAGTTATTAAAAAATCTAAGGTAGTTTTTTTGTTGTTGCAAGAACTTGCTTTTTTAATGATATAACATTGATTGACCACTCTGTCTATTAGTTTCTTACATTCCTTTTATATACTATAGCACGAATTTAACAAAAGTGTGCGGGCCTTTGGGGATGAAAGGATATTGTTTGTTTTAGAAGGATAATGTTGAAAAGCAAGGTTTTTGTAGTTTAAATCTAAGAGTTCAACATGATGTGGCATACTAAAATGAAAATGTGGAGCTACATATCGAGGCATACTAAAAAAAAGTCAAATATGTAGTTGCAGAGTGGTGAAACTCTGTTTTTTGATAAACTATTCTGTTTTGGCTTTACTCTTTATCAGAGGTTGTTGCTATCCTCGATTGTCCATGTAATCTTTGTGTTGAAGCTATTTTACACATAGTAGATACTGCGTATTAATTTTGATTCTTGAGATTGTTAACTACTTGATAGCAAAAGGCTACACAATCTTTCACCTAACTGGGTGAGTGTGGGGGTCGGTGTTTGTCTCATGCCATTTTTCATTCTGGTGCATGCATAATTCTGCGATCACTTGGTGGTCTATATTTATTTACTGGAACTTTATAACAGGATTTACTGGATGATCTTGTTCTTGGAGTTGATAGAGCTACAACCACAACCGTAGGAGAGACGCCATTGCATCCATGTGGCATTACGGATCACATGGAGAAGATGTTAACTCAAAACTTTACACTGGTAAAGTCCTTTGAGAATGAAGTTCACACCTTCCGTAGTCAAGTTGTTGATGGAGATGCTGCAATTGGAAATACCCTGCTGGGACATTTCAGTGATATATTTAAGAAGGTATTAGATATTTCTATTAGCAATTATAGTATAAGTATTTCTCCGGACACTGTTGCCTAATAAGATGAGCATCATCACTGTATTAATTCACATTTGGTCAACATTCATATCTGAAATTGTTTTGCAATTCTCAGGCCAACTTCATTGCTGGACAGTTCAGTTCTGACTGTGATTCTTCAGAAAATAAAATTTACTCCAACGATCATTTAGTAAATATCGTTGATGCTGAAGATCGTTTTGGTATGTTGCTGTTGGAGACCTGCAAATATATTATGGATGCTCTTCATGCAATGGGCTCAGTAGAGTTTGATATCCCTGATAAGCTGAATATCTGTGTGTGGAAGGAGCTCTTGCAGTCAAATATTGCTAAACTACAGCTGGATGTGATTAGTGATAGATTACTTGAGACTATCTGTCTTTCTGTGAGTTCTGCTCTATTATTTCTTTTTTATAGATCTTGTTGGTGGTGGTGTTGTTGCATAGATCTGTCATCTTTGGGTGTTTCACACTAATTATGTTCCTCGTTTATTTGCTTTGTGCAGAGAAAAATATTGAATTATTATGGAAGCAGAAATCCAAGCTCAACTTCGCTCATTAGATCACATCTAAAACATCTTTATTCGTTGTCGAATGCAATCCTGGCTATTAGTGAAGGCCTTCTGCACCGTTTCCTGATGATGCACACCATGGTATGTGTATTGTTTATTTTTATGATTTGCTTACAGTGGGTTTCAACTGGGTTGTTGTTGTTGTTTTGTTGCTTACAGTGGTAGATCTTGACCCCCCCCCCTCCCCCCTCGAAAAAAAACAAATGTACTTGAGATTATATTGAGTTTGTTGTATTATTTTTTACCTGAAGCTTTTCATGTTTTCATGGGCAGCCTTCTTTTTGTGTAGGCTAAGAGGGGATTTATATACAACATTGATTGTAATACCTATTTGACTTTGTATTTCTGCATCATCATAAAATGCAGGTATCTGTGATGACCCATGTCCTAGCAGAAGTTTTTTCATCACTATTTGTCAATGGATATGGATCTAAAGAAGACCAAACAAATGAGTCTGGCCAGAGTGATACTCATGATGCAAGTGGTACTGGCATGGGTGAGGGCACTGGATGTAATGACATTAGTGATCAAATAACTGATGAAGATCAAGTTCTTGGGGCTTCCAATGAAGTATGGATTGACCTAATTTAATTCTTGTATTTTGTTCATCTCAAATCTGTTGTTTTCATTTTGGTATCTGACAGTCTGTGATATATGGTTTGCAGCCAAATGAGCAACAAAATAATGCTCCAAATGACATGTCAAGTGCAAAAGACAAGGGCATTGAGATGGAAGATGATTTTATAGCTGAAACATGTAGTGTCAGTGAAGATTCTGTTGATGATGAGGATGGCACTGAAGAGGATGGGGAATTAGATTCTGCTATGGGACCGACTGGCGATCACAGTGAAAAAGTTGATGAGAAACCTTGGGATGGGGAAGGAAATGAAGATAATGATAGCATAGATGAGAAGTATAAGTCTGGGCAATCAGTAAAAGATAAAGGAGATGAGCAGGAACTACAAGCTAAAGATGATACTGTTGCTTATGATGATGAAAAAGAAACAGAAGGCCCCGATCCTGGGGAATTTGGGAAACAACATGATGAAAATGGGAATGAAGGCATTGACGATGAAACCGAAGACATGGATTTAGATGAAGAAAATGCACATGTGGATCCGACAGATTTGAAACTTGATGAACAGGATCCAGGTCAAGTAGGTGATAGTGGTGCTTTGGACCCATCAGAGGAGGTTGAATGCATGGAGGAAGAAGATAAAAATCCAGATGACTCTGTTAAAGGTGAGAATGAAGAGGAGACAACAAACTCAATGGATGATACTCCGGGAGAAACAAATGACAAACAAATGTATGAAAAAATGTCTGGGGAGGGTCAAGAGGAGGATAGCCATCATGATAGTTGCACGAACGAGGAACTACTGGATCCAAAGAGAGACAGAATTCAGCCCAAGGCTTCTCCTTTTCCGGCTCAATCTTCGGGGAATGGTCGAATTGGTTTAGGACTACCAGATATAGTCAAAGACTCTAATGGTGAAAATTCCAATAACAGTGTGGAAGAGACAGACCAGTCTAATGGCAGTGGACTAGAGCATAAGCTTGATCCTGGGAGAGGCTTTAATGATAAAGATCAGGATATCATGGTGGCTGACTCATCCAATGGCGATAAGTTAAGTGGTTATAAACATGAAACTCCAGTCCCTCAAGTTAACAATCTATCACTTAATGGGAGTCAACCAAATCCATGTCGTAATGTTGGGGATGCACTTGATGCCTGGAAAGAAAGAGTGAATGTCTCTATTGACATTGAGGATAACTTACAGAGTGCAGATGACATTGTAGATAATGATGCAAAGGAATATGGATATACTGCTGAATTTGATAAGGGGACAGCCCAAGCAATTGGGCCAGCAACCACTGACCAGATTGATAGAAATGTGAGGGGAAATGATGTTGAAGGAGATGATGCTGGAATGAATGAAAAAAACAAATATGCTAATGAACTGGATCTTGATAAGCTTCAACGACATTCTCAACCTGTTGTCAGTTCTGCTTCAAAGTTCAACAATGATATAGAAATGCAATTGGAGAAGTCAGAAACAGACAAACAACTTGAACAATCTGCTGCAGAGGATCACGGTTATGGTGGTGATGACCCAAGTAGTTCATCATTGGATATGGTTTCCGTGATGAGAAATTATTTAAGTGAGGATATAAATCAACTCAGCAATCTTTCCGTGACTGATGATGACTTGGGTAGGGCTTCCAACCTTGCAGAAGAAGCAACATGTGACTTGAGTGATGCTGCTTCTCTTTGGAGAATGTATGAACTTCGCACTACAAGGCTTTCTCAGGAGTTAGCTGAACAGTTACGTTTGATAATGGAGCCCACTATAGCTAGCAAGCTGCAAGGGGATTACAGAACTGGCAAAAGGATAAATATGAAAAAAGTATGTTTTTAAGCAGACAAGGGAATGCTTTTTTACATTCTGTATACAGCATGACCATTTCTAATTAATAGCCTCTCGATCAGAAGTTTACTAATTTATTGTGTTATTAATTGCTAAGCCTATAATTTTTTCACTCGTCAAAGTATATGCCATTTATCTTAAATAGTGCATTTTTTTTGAATGAACACATTTCAAAAGTCTGTCATATTAAGTTTATTGAGAATTCTGGAATTGAATGTTAGAAAGATGAAGTTGAAGATGATGGTTGTGTGTTAGATCCTATTTAGATAGAGTCATTTGTAACATGGTATTGTTTTCCCTCCAGGTAATTACCTATATTGCAAGTCATTATCGAAATGATAAGATATGGCTGCGCCGTACAAAGCCAAACAAACGTGATTATCAAGTTGTCGTTGCTGTGGATGATTCTGAAAGCATGTCTGAATCCCGTTGTGGGTGTGTTGCTATTGAAGCTTTGGTGACAGTCTGTCGTGCTATGTCTCAGTTGGAGGTGGGCAAATTGGCTGTCACAAGCTTTGGGAAAAAGGGGAATATCCGGTTGTTGCATGATTTCGACCAACCTTTTGCTGCGGATGCTGGGATTAAGGTCAGTGAGTAATCTATTTATGGGAATTGCATTCATATGTAGGTGTTTGCTTGTAGTTGTTTTCAGCTTCTTTTCTATTCAACTATTTTAATTTTCTTTTTATAACTAAGCAGATGATTTCAAGTTTTACATTCAAGCAAGGAAACTCAATAGCCGAAGAACCAATGGGTGATCTAGTGAAGTATTTAAACAATATGCTTGATGAAGCTGTCCTTAGCGCAAGGCTACCAGCTGGAGATAGTCCTCTCCAGCAACTTGTTTTGATAATAGCAGATGGTCGATTTCATGAGAATCCGGTATAGTTCTCTATGGATGATGTCCACAAACTTTAATATGGAACTCCTCTGCCTTCATAATGGACGAACAATGTATTTAAAATAATTTTTTCAAAATTCATCTTTTACAGGAAAAATTGAAGTGGCGTGTAAGAGACCTGATGAATAAAAAGCGCTTAGTTGCATTTCTGCTGCTAGATGACCCCAATGCTTCCATCTTGGACCTCGGGGTATTCCATCTATCTCACTCTTTCTTTGATTCGAGGAAGTAACCAAAGAAAATGATGAATTTTCCAGTTTTATTGAATGAATGTATATGTGGGTTACAGGACGTCACATTCCCAGGAGGTGTCTATAAGTGGAACAAGTACATGGACTCGTTTCCCTTCCCGTATTATTTGGTGTTGAAGGACATAGCGTCCCTTCCTAGGACACTAGCCGATTTGTTGAGACAGGTAAGTCCAGATATAGTGACCGAATGAACGAACGGGTTGTTTTGTTTTTTCTTTTCTCTTTTTCGTGTCGTTTTTTTGTCATCTTCTGATGATGAATATGGTGTGTGTATCTGCAGTGGTTCGAGCTGATGCAGTCCTCAAGAGACTAACTATGGTTGTAGTTGTCGACATTTTTGTTAAGGGAAACTATCCTGGTGCCTCCACAATTTTTGGGGAGCCTGTCTGAGCAGCAGGTGAATTCTTTATTAGGGACCTGTCTTTACTGATGGTAAATATTTTTTTCTGTCCCTAAGCTGTACAATAATTATTATCAAATGTTAATGGTACCCAGGAAATCATTCATTACTGATTAATTAATTAATAGCTGATGGCTCTGTTTTCATGGAAGTGTTTATATTTACTAACCAGCAGTAGAAGTAGAGTTAACTTAACCGCACATGGCACACCTGGTTTAGTTAAGTAACCAACCTTCTCTTGAGCAATTCCAATTTCGCCCCTAACTTTCCCTCCAGCTTCCTTTTTCCTTCCCTTTGTACAATCTGTTTTTCCATGAAGG